TCACCCAGGAACACTGTACCTCCACCCTAACCCTTCCTCACCCTGTCCCCCTCACCCAGGAACACTGTTCCCCCACCCTAATCCCTCCTCACCCTGTCCCCCTGACACAGGAACACTGTACCTCCACCCGAACCCTTCCTCACCCTGTCCCGCTCACGCAGGAACACTGTACCCCCACCCTAATCCCTCCTCACCCTGTCCCCCTCACCCAGGAACACTGTACCTCCACCCGAACCCTTCCTCACCCTGTCCCCCTCACCCAGGAACACTGTATCCTCACCCTAACCCCTCCTCACCCTGTCCCCTCACCCAGGAACACTGTATCCCCCCCCAACCCCTCCTCATCCTGTCCCCTCACTCAGGAACACTGTATCCTCACCCTAAGCCCTCCTCACCCTGTCTCCTGACCCTCTCCCTATAGCTCTCTATCTCTCCCTCAAACCCTCCAACCCTGGCAACATCTTTGTGAATCTTTTCTGAACACTTTCAAGTCTCGCAACATCCTCCCTATAATAGAGAGACCAGAATTGCACACAGTATTCCAAAAGTGGCCTTACCAATACCCTGAACAACTGCAACATGATGTTACAACTCCTGTACTCAATGCACTCATCAATGAAGGCAAGTGTACCGAACCTATCCTTTCAGTTTAGCCTCAGCTCTCCTTGTATGGTTCAGTGCTATTTTTCGATTTACAACACTCCTGCACAGAGCCAGGAGATCTTTCAGTAGGTTTAAGGTGCTATATAAATACTAATTATTGACCCCTGGGTTGCTTCAATGACACGGGTAAATCTGGTTTAAATGAAATGCAACAACTTGCATTTAAATCATGTCTTCATTGCAGCAAAGTGCTTCACTCGGGAGTAGAGTCATGGAGCCATACAGCACGAAAACAGACCGTGGGTATTTCATAATGAGAGAGGATTCATTCGCAACATTGCACTGCAAGATCCTTTGGGGAAGAGTGACCATAATACGATAGAATTCTTCATTAAGATGGAGAGTGGCACAATTAAATCTGAAACGAGGGTCCTGAACTTGAAGAAAGCTAACTTTGATGGTATGAGGCATGCATTGGCTAGAATAACTGGCCAAGGATATTTAAGAGGTTGATGGAGGATAGGCAATGGCAGACCATTTAAAGAACACATGGATGAACTTCAACATCTGTACATCCCTGTCTGACGTAAGAGTAAAACAGGGAAGGTGGCTTAACCATGGCTAACAAGGGGAATGAGGAGCAGTGTTAAAGCCAAAGAGGAATCATATAAATTGATTAGAAAAAGAAGCAAACCTGAGGACTGGGAGAAACTTAAAATTCAACAGTGGAGGACAAAGTGTTTATTTTGGAAGGGCAAAATAGAATATGTAAGTAAACATAAAAACTGACTGCAAAAGCTTCTATAGATACACGAAGAGAAAAAGACTGGTGAAGACAAATGTAGGTCCCTTGAAGTTAGAATCAGGTGAATTCATAACGGACATCAAAGAGATGGGAGAGCAGTTGAACAAATACTTTGGATCTGTCTTCGCTAAGGAGGACACAAATAACCTTCAGGAAATGCTAGGGGACAGAGGGCCAAGCATAAAGGAGGAACTGAAGGAAATCCTTATTAGTCAGGAAATGCTACTGGGGATATTGATGGGATTAAAAGCCGAAAAATCCCCAGGGCTTGATGCTCTGCATCCCAAAGTACTCAAGGAAGTTGCCCTAGAAATGACGGATGCAGTGGTGATCATTTTCCAGCATTCTGTCGAGTCTGAAAGAGTGCCAATGGATTGGAGGGTAGCTAATATAACTCCACTTTTTAAAAGAGGAAGGAGAGAAAATGGGGAATTATAGGCTGGTTAGTGGGGAAAATGCTGGAGTCAGTCGTTAAGGATGTAATAACAGAGCATTTGGAAGTAGTGACTGAATCAGTTCTCGTCAGCATGGATTCACTAAAGGATCATCATGTTTGACAAACCTTCTGGAATTTGTTGAGGATGTGACCAGTAGAGTGGACAAGGGTGAATCAGCAGATGTTGTGTATCTGGACTTTCAAAAGGCTTTTGACAAGGTTCCACACAAGGGATTAGTAAGGAAAATTAAAGCTATTGGAGGTAAAGTATTGACATGGATCGAGAACTGGTCGGCAGACAGGAAGCAGAGAGTTGGAATAAACGGGTCCTTTTCAGATTGGAAGGCAGTGATGAATGGGGTATCGCAGGGTTCAGTGCTGGGACCCCAGCTGTTCACAATATACATGAACAATTTGGTTGAAGGAATTGAACGCAATATCTCTAAATTTGCAGGTGACACTAAGCTGGGTGGCAGTGTGTGCTGTGAGGAGGATGCCAAGACGCTGCAGGGTGACTCGGACAGACTGGCTGAGTGGGTAAATACTTGGAAAATGCAATATAATGTGGATAAATGTGACGTTATCCACTTTGGTCACAAAAACAGGAAGGCAGATTATTATCTGAATGGTGGCAGTTTAGGGAAAAAGGAGGGGCAATGGGAACAGTGTGTCATGGTGGAATAGTCGCTGAAGGTTGACACACAGGTGCAGCAAGCAGTGAGGAAAGCTAATAGCACGCTGGCCTTCATAGCGAGAGGATTTGAGTATCGGAGTAAGGATGCCTTGCTGCAGTTATACAGGGCCTTGGTGAGGCCACACTTTGAGTATGGTGTGCAGTTTTGGTCTCCTAGTCTGAGGAAGGACATTCTTGCTATTGCGGGGGTCCAGCAAAGATTCACCAGACTGATTCCCGGGATGGCAGGACTGACATATGAGGAAAGACTGGATCAACTGGGCTTGTATTTGCTGGAATTTAGAGCTATGGGGTGTGGGGTAGATTTCATAGAAACATATAAAATCCTGATGGGACTGGACAGGCTAGATGTGGGAAGAATGTTCCCGATGTTGGGGAAGTCCAGAAATAAGGGTCACACTCTATGAACAAAGGGTAAGCCATTCGGGACTGTGATGAGGAAGAATTTCTTCACTCAGTGAGATACGAACCTGTGGAATTCTCTCCCACAGGAAGCTGTTGGGGCTACTTCATTAGATATATTTAAGAGGGAGCTGGACTTGCAGCTGAAGGGATCAAGGATATGGGGAGGGCAGGAGTGGGATACTGAGATTGCACGATCAACCATATTGTATTGAATTGTTGTACAGGCTCGAAGGGCTGAATGGCCTACTCCTGCACCTATGTTTCTGTGTTTCTTCAGCCCAACTCATCATGCAAACCAGGTTTCCTAAACTGAACTAGTCCCATTTGCCAGCATTTGGCCCACATCCATCTAAACCCTTCCAGATGTACCCATCCAGATGCCTTTCAAATGTTGTAATTGTACCAGCCTCCACCACCTCCTCTGGCAGCTCATTCCCTACATGCACCCCTCTCTGTGTGAACAAGTTGCCCCTTAGGTCCCTTTTACATATTTCTCCTTTTACACTAAAACTATGCCCTCTAGTTTTGGACTCCCCTACCCTAGAGAAAAGACATTGTCTATTCACCCTATCCATGCCCTGCACTGATTTTATAAACTTCTATAACGTCATCCCTCAGCCTCCAACACTCCAGGTAAAAAGGCTCCAGCCTATTCAACCTCTCCCTATAACTCAAACCCTTCAGTCTCGGTAACATTGTTGTAAATCTTTGTTGCACCCTTTCTATTCTAACAACATATTTCCTATCGCAGGGTGACCTGTGCCATTTGAGGCGATATTAGGAACCAAAACTTTGGTCAAAGACATTTCAAGAACATCTTAAAGGAATGGAGAGAATGGGAGAGACGGAGAGAGGAGGTAAAGGGCAGCGAGGTGGACAGCTCTCCCAAAGAGCTAGTACAGCAATGATGGGCTGGATGGCCTCATTTTGCACCGCACCCTACAGTTCAATCTCAAGATGGTCGCAGGCAGTGGACATCAGTCCAGACCAGGGATGGGGGGTTCCGAACCGAGGACGGGAACGGTAAATTGGGAATATCGCCAGAATGGGAGGCAAACCCCAACAGTACTTTTTTGATCCGCATTTCTCTGGGTGACACTGACCTTGACCGAGGCGAGCTCCAGTCAGCGCCTCCCTGGCTGAGCCATAACCCAACTCGCGGCACACGACGCTGGCGGATAGAAGGTTCCATCGATCGTCGCAGACCGTCCCCCATTTACCATTTTTCAGAACCTCCACTCTCCCTTCTCCAGTCTGCGCTCCACCCTTTAACCTCACGAGTGGTTGCTGAGAGACAAACAAGCATGGATTATATATATTAAAAAAATGCTCACTGGCAGCTAAAACAGCATCAGCGCATCCTTCAGTTTCATAGACTCCCTACAGTGTGGAAGCAGGCCATTCAGCCCAACAGGTGCACTTCAACCCTCCGAAGAACATCCCACCCAGACCCACTCCACTACTCTATCCTTGCATTCCCCATGGCTAATACACCTACCCTACGCATCCCTGGACACTATGGGGCAATTTAGCATGGCCAATCCACCTAACCTGCCCATCTTTGGACTGTGGGAGGAAACAGAAGCACCTGGAGGAAACCCACGCAGACACGGGGAGAATGTGCAAGCTCCACACAGACAGTTGCCCAAGGCTGGAATTGAACCTGGGTCCCTGGCGCTAAGGCAGCAGTGCTAACCACAGAGCCACCCAAAGAAATAACTTTCAATGAAATATATCTCGTCATTATTGCATCTTGTCAGATGCTGCATATCCATAGCGCCTTTCTTGCCTCGGGCTGTTGCAAAGCACTTTATAAACATTGCAGTGTTCTGATGTGTATTTCCCGTTGTGATATTGGATATATATGCAGCCAACTTGCACAGAGCAAGATCTTACAAAACAATGTGATAATTCCCAGATAACAAGGTGTAGAGCTGGATGAACACAGCAGGCCAAGCAACATCAGAAGAGCAGGAAAGCTGA